CCAAAGTCCTAGCCTCAATAACCCAACTAGGTAGACTGTTCCACTCATCAACTACCCTATTTCCAAATCAATACTTTCCTATGTCCTTTCTAAATCTAAACTTATCTAATTTAAATCCATTACTGCGGGTTCTCTCTTGGAGAGACATCCTCAAGACCTTATTAATATCCCCTTTATTAATACCTATCTTCCACTTATACACTTCGATTAGGTCTCCCCTCATTCTTCGTCTAACAAGTGAATGTAACTTAAGAGTCTTCAATCTTTCTTCATAAGGAAGATTTCTAATGCTATGTATTAATTTAGTCATCCTACGCTGAATGTTTTCTAACGAATTTATGTCCATTCTGTAATATGGAGACCAGAATTGAGCTGCATAATCTAGGTGAGGCCTTACTAATGATGTATAAAGCTGCAGTATGACCTCTGGACTTCTGTTGCTTACACTTCTTGATATAAATCCCAGTAATCTATTTGCCTTATTACGTACGTGTAGGCATTGCTGTCTTGTGATGAATGGTTTGAATGGTGAAGCCTCCGCCTGCTTCACCTCACCTCACTACAGTATATAAGCCACGTCTACGGCCCTATGCTGTACATTCTACAAGATTGATGGACTGAACACATCGACTCCAGGCTGAGGGACTGATTACCTCATACTCCTCCTCTCCTTACGCCTTCCTCTTTGTATTGGACTGATGAAGCCACTGTGTGGCGAAACGTTTCCTGAATAAAGATTCCCATATGCTGCATAAGTGTCTCAATCTTCAACATTGCTGTCTTGGTTTAAGGTTGCTGCTCACCATAACCCACAAGTCCTTTTCGCAATCTGTATGGCTAAGTTCTACATCATTTAACTTATAAGTGCTAGGGTTATGGTCCTTAGGCAAATAGATAAATTAAAACCTAACAAATCCCCAGGCCCTGATGAACTGTATGCAAGGGTTCTAAAGGAATGTAAAGAGGAGCTTAGCACACCTTTGGCTAATCTTTTCAACATATCACTACAAACTGGCATGGTGCCAGATAAGTGGAAAATGGCAAATGTGATACCTATTTTCAAAACAGGTGACAGGTCCTTAGCTTCGAACTATAGACCAATAAGCCTAACCTCCATAGTGGGAAAATTTATGGAATCAATAATTGCCGAGGCAGTTCGTAGCCACCTTGAAAAGCATAAATTAATCAACGAATCTCAGCATGGTTTTACAAAGGGGCGTTCCTGCCTTACGAATTTATTAACTTTTTTCACTAAGGTATTTGAGGAGGTAGATCATGGTAATGAATATGATATTGTGTATATGGACTTCAGTAAGGCTTTTGACAGGGTCCCACATCAGAGACTATTGAGGAAAATTAAAGCACATGGAATAGGAGGAGAAATTTTTTCCTGGATAGAGGCATGGTTGACAAATAGGCAGCAGAGAGTTTGCATAAATGGGGAGAAATCAGAGTGGGGAAGCGTCACGAGCGGTGTTCCACAGGGGTCAGTGTTGGGCCCCCTGCTGTTCACAATCTACATAAACGACATAGATGAGGGCATAAAGAGCGACATCGGCAAGTTTGCCGATGACACCAAAATAGGCCGTCGAATTCATTCTGACGAGGACATTCGAGCACTCCAGGAAGATTTGAATAGACTGATGCAGTGGTCGGAGAAGTGGCAGATGCAGTTTAATATAGACAAATGCAAAGTTCTAAATGTTGGACAGGACAATAACCATGCCACATATAAACTAAATAATGTAGATCTTAATATTACGGATTGCGAAAAAGATTTAGGAGTTCTGGTTAGCAGTAATCTGAAACCAAGACAACAGTGCATAAGTGTTCGCAATAAAGCTAATAGAATCCTTGGCTTCATATCAAGAAGCATAAATAATAGGAGTCCTCAGGTTGTTCTTCAACTCTATACATCCTTGGTTAGGCCTCATTTAGATTATGCTGCACAGTTTTGGTCACCGTATTACAGAATGGATATAAATTCTCTGGAAAATGTACAAAGGAGGATGACAAAGATGATCCCATGTATCAGAAACCTTCCCTATGAGGATAGACTAAGGGCCCTGAAACTGCACTCTCTAGAAAGACGTAGAATTAGGGGGGATATGATTGAGGTTTATAAGTGGAAGACAGGAATAAATATAAAGGGGATGTAAATAGTGTGCTGAAAATATCTAGCCTAGACAGGACTCGCAGCAATGGTTTTAAGTTGGAAAAATTCAGATTCAGGAGGGATATAGGAAAGTACTGGTTTGGTAATAGAGTTGTGGATGAGTGGAACAAACTCCCAAGTACCGTTATAGAGGCCAGAACGTTGTGTAGCTTTAAAAATAGGTTGGATAAATACATGAGTAGATGTGGGTGGGTGTGAGTTAGACCTGATAGCTTGTGCTAACAGGTCGGTTGCCGTGTTCCTCCCTTAAGTCAATGTGACCTGACCTGACTAGGTTGGGTGCATTGGCTTAGGCCGGTAGGGACTTGGACCTGCCTCGCATGGGCCAGTAGGCCTTCTGCAGTGTTCCTTCGTTCTTATGTTCTTATGTTCTTATGTTATGGACACTCCCAAGCTTCAGAACCTTGCATTTATCTACATTGAACTGCATCTGCCACTTTTCTGACCAAGAATAGAGTTTGTCTAAATCCTCCTGAAAGTTTGTCTAAATCATCCTGAAAACTAAGAACTCATGTTAGGCAGATCCTATTCACTCCTAACACTGTAGGTCTACCGGCTTCTACACACAAGTAATTATTCTCATTATTTTTACATTGAGTAATTTATTTTTTAAAACAACTCAGTACGCTAACTACATTGAATTATTTGACGAGTTTTACCACCCATATTGAACTAAACCGCAAAAACCTCTGATATCTAGTTTGCCCGAAATGCTCAGCATAACAAGCGGCTTTCTATATAGTAGCATATCATTGATGTCAGCTAGGACTGTATACCTTGTACTGGTGGAAATAAAGATATTTTTAGTTAGCGCATTCATTGTTCTGTTGCAACGACTTTGTATACTGAGCCGGTTATTACGAGATCTCCCTTATTAGGTGAAGTTAATTTGGGTTACGTTAGCATAAATTGCAACACCTAACCTCAAGAATAGGCAATTGACTAGGACTGAGGATGGATATCTGGTAACGTAGGTACACACTGTTGTATGCAATAAGATGGAATATGCGATAAGTCATACACTAAGTGTAACACGCGATAACAGTAACGCAGAACGGATAAACGCACAGTAGTAACGATAAATGCACAATGTTTTATACAACAGAGTTCAGCACATGGTAACGCTGGTCAGGTACCAAGTCATCCACAACAAGGTGTAACACGCAAGTGATGAACCTGGCTAGTCACTGCTCGCCCAGACCTTCCTTGACACACCTGGTTGATGCTGCAGGTCAGTGAGTCAAGTGGTGAGTACGAGAATATCTTTCGATTATTAATCTCGGATGATTAATAGCGCAGGAAAACACGAGAAAACTACTTGAGGAGTCTCTTCCCTAGAATACTGCTACAAAAACAATCGACTAGGTAACAATAATCCATTCATTGCTAACTGAACAGGAACACTAAGTGTAAAGAAACCGGCCCATACGTCTCAACTCGGCCATGTATTAAATCCGAACCCTCAGTGTTGTTGAGTGGAACCCTCAGTGTTGAGTGGAACCCTCAGCGTTGTTGAATGGAACCCTCAGTGTTGTTGAGTGGAACCCTCAGTGTTGTTGAGTGGAACCCTCAGTGTTGAGGAGTGGAACCCTCTGCTACCCGGCAACGAGTACCATGTACGGTAGTGGTGAAATATACTGATAAATATCTGAATAAGTCATAATTTGCGGTTTATGGCAGTTTATCCACCAGAAACATTATTAATTCCCAAGTCGCTAGTGAACCAAACTTTTTTTTTTCAATAAAACGCAATAAACGTCACATTGTGTCAGAAAGCTAGTGTCACTGACGAAGCTCTACTCTGACGTTATCACTGAGGGAAAACGTGCACTTTCACTGCTTTTGGATGTTCCAGCAGTGACAACACCGACTTAGTAGAGAATAACTTTCACTTAGAACACATCAGTGATGCGGACGGGAAAGGATTTCCCTTCACTATGCTTGGTAGCACCACTAACAGTGTGAAGGATCTCCCTTCATCATGCTTGGTAGCATCACTAACAGTGTGAAGGATCACCCTTCATCATGTTTAGTAGCGTCACTAACTGTGAAGGATCACCCTTCATCATGCTTGGTAGCATCACTAACAGTGTGAAGGATCACCCTTCACCATGCTTGGTAGCATCATTAACAGTGTGAAGGATCTCCATTCATCATGCTTGGTAGCACCACTAACAGTGTGAAGGATCACCCTTCACCATGCTTGGTAGCACCACTAACAGTGTGAAGGATCACCCTTCATCATGCTTGGTAGCATCACTAACAGTGTGAAGGATCTCCCTTCATCATGCTTGGTAGCACCACTAACAGTGTGAAGGATCACGCTTCACAGTGCTAGGTGACATCACTAACAGTGTGAAGGATCACCTCTTACAATGCTAGGAGGCACCATTAACAGTGTGAAGGATCACCTCTCACAGTGCTAGGAGGCACCACTAACAGTGTGAAGGATCACCTCTCACAGTGCTAGGAGGCACAAGGGCCACCACTCCGTGGTTGTGACACCAGTGACACTACCAGTGGGAAGGGTCACCCTTCACTATAATGGATGACACCACTGTGTGATGGGTCACAGCACAGTAGTAGGTGACTACTGTGTCTGGTAGAGTTTCCTATCAACAAGTTCAAAGCACCACGATAAACATTTCAGCTGCAGCTGGTAGCTACATCTTGGTAAGGTGACAGCCGCCGGTAAGACTGTCTTTACCAGCCACCAAGTGAAAGTCTGCTGTCTTCTTAGTTCACTAGTCACGTCACTTGTTCACACGCCTGTTTGATAAGAACATTTAATGTGTTGATGAAGGTCTGGCTGTTTGTAACTAACCATCATCATGGTGGTGGTGCTGCGGCTGAACACACACACACACACACACACACGAGTGTCCGCTAGGAGCAGGCCAGCAGCAGCAGCAGCGACGGCAACAGCAACAACAGCAGCAGCAGGGGAACAATAGAGAGTGAGGTTAGACTACTCCACCAGACTGAAGCGCAACACTGAGTGAGCCTCGTGAAGCTCGTCCGGCATTTTATACCCACTCTCACTTGTGACCGGTCCAGTGCCTGTCCAGTCACTTTACTTATGACCGAGCCAGAGCCTGCGTCCAGACACATTTCCATACACGTGACCTGTCCAGTCACAACTCATTTGTGACTAGTTCGCAAGGCCTTATTGTCCAGTCACTCCTTTTGTGACCGGTTCAGCGCCTATGTGTAATCTCTTTCACTACCTAGAGGCTGTTCCGGGGGTCAACGCCCCCGCAGCCCAGTCCATGACCAGGCCTTGTGACCAGCCCAGTAAGCCTCAGTGACCAGTCAGTCCTCACTTGTGACCGGACCAGCGTCAGTATGACCAGTCACTCCGCCTCACTTGTGACCGGTCCAACAGGCCTCATTGTCCAGTTGTACAAATGCCGTGGAAAATCAAACGCGTCCACATTTGAGATCTGACATCAGCCACGAGACGCAGCTCCAGAACCTGTTTCCACTACATCCTCCAACTTTCTCAGGGCTGTGGCTCACAGAGTAATGCTTATTGTGTAGGTTCCTTCGGTGAGAAGATCATGAAATATCTCTTGTTTAGTCATGTGTAACTGTTACATGTAATCACGTAATCATATATGTAACTGTCGGCCTCGCAGGTGCAAGGTGGGGTCATTACGATTAGATCTCAAGAGTCAAAAATCATCCAAACCAGGAAGGGTACAAGTTAATGGGCTTGTGAAGGCTCCAGCTTGAACCATAAACCCAGTGACCTGAACAGCTTGTGGTTGGTGGCCAGGGGTAGTAACCCAGCCTGGCTGGGTTACTACCCCTGGTAGTAGGTAGCGAGGCAGCAACATCTAGTCCTCCTGCTCATTAATTTAATGTTGACTTTCACATGATGGAAGATCGTTGAACATAGATGGTGACTGGTCCCGCTGTTACTCTCATATCAGCTCACTGCTATGCAGTGTCACTTCTTTCAGGAGAGTGCCTTGATGCTAGTGAAAGGCTTCTAATACAAGGAATTGGAGCTACCGTTTTTTTCTTGGATAAGACTCCTATGGGTTTAGAATTTTCCCTTGAATGTATTATCAGTAATGAACACCAAGTGAACCGAGACTGCAAGGGAGGTGGTTCTATGTTAAGGGTATCTCTAGTGAAACATTCTGACAGAGCCTTCTTCTTCTTTATTCGCTGGTACTCTCCTGGCCCTGGTCTTTTCCAGATGGTGACCCGGCCTTGGCTCCCTGTCTTGGGAGTGTCTGAGACCTATGTCTGCCATGGGAGGAGGTACAAGTACCCCCTCATCTTCTAGGACCAACTGTCCCCAGGCCTAAACCCTCACCGGGCTTGAAGGGAAAAGCTAGGCCTCTGGTCTGCCATCTTCCCCACCTAAGAGGGGCTAGTGGGAATGGCAGTTTTGTGAGCTGCAGGTGATAGCAAGCTCTGGCCATGTCTGTCTGACAGAGCCGAAATTAGTCCCTAGTTCAACTATAAAGTTCCATTTTATGTCTCTGTACTAGAATGATAAAGTCTGTCGTACAGGTAGAGCATCTTTTACATAAAGATTCCCAGGAATTGCCCTTGTGTCTCATTGATCAATTTCTTGGTATTATACACCTTCCATCTTAGCATAATCTTTGCTAATACTTCTTAATATAAATCCAAGAACTCTCTTAATTATTTTTCGAACATTTTAGCAGTTGTTTTGGAATTATGTTTCTACATACCGTAGCTCTCTAGTACTTTTTAAATCATATATGATCAAGTTCTATATTATTTAGTTTATAAATATTATGGTTATTTTCATTGCTGAGGATTAAAGCTGTACTTTTTCAAGCTGAATTTTTACTGAACTTTCCGGACCAAACATTAGCTCGTCTAAATCCTTCTAAACGTCTATGAATTCTTTCTCTAATTATATTTGATAGTCTATTTTTTTATTGCCAGCGAATTTACATATGCTGCTTTTTATTCCCCTCACCAAAGTCATTAAGTAGATTATAAACAACAAGGGGATCAAAACTTACCTTTGTGGCTGGTCCTCATTTTGATTTCATTGTAGTTATTCAATTCTCTGTTTTTTTTTGTTAGCATAGCCTCTAATGACGAGAAAGTTTTCTCCTGTACCATGTACTGCCAATTTCTTTAACAGTCCTTTCTGTTCGATTCTCTCAGAAGCCTTAATGAAATACAAGTATATGTCATTGTATTCTTTATCATCGTTCATTGCCTCAAATGCTTAACAAAAAACAGTAAATTCCTAAGGCAAGAATAGCTTTTGTGAATCATTGCTGAGACTCATTCATATTAAGCTCACAGTGGTGGCTTCAAATTATGTCTTCTATGTTAGTTAGTTATCTATGTAACACAAAATATGCAGTGCCTTGTCAGGTACCGCGTCTTTTTTTCTGTTGGGGGTCCTATAATTTTCTGCCCCAGGATGCGACACACAACAGTCGACTAACACCCACGTACATACTCAGTGTGTGAGCATAGGACTCTATCAGCTGAACCAAGGTCATCCATAGTGAGCCAAGAGCACGTATAGTGAGCCATGATCACCCATAGTGAGCCATGATCACGCATAGTGAGCCACGAGCACCCATGGTGAGCTACGAGCACCCATAGTGAGCCAAGAGCACGTATAGTGAGTCACGAGCATCCATAGTGAGCAACAAGCACGTATAGTGAGCCATGATCACCCATAGTGAGCCATGATCACGCATAGTGAGCAACAAGCACCCATAGTAAGCCAAGAGCACCCATAGTGAGTCACAAGCACCCATAGTGAGCCAAGAGCACCCATAGTGAGTCATAAGCAAACACAGTGAGCCAAGAGCACCCATAGTGAGTCACAAGCACCCATAATGAGCCAAGAGCACCCATAGTGAGTCATAAGCAGCCATAGTGAGCCAAGAGCACTCACAGTGATTCAAAAGCTCCTATAGTGTGCCACGAGCACCCATAATAAGCCAAGACCAAACACAGTAAGCTAAAAGTAGCACCCATAGTGAGCCAAGAGCACGTATAGTGAGCCATGATCACCCATAGTGAGCCATGATCACGCACAGTGAGCCACGAGGACCCACAGTGAGCCACGAGCACCCATAGGGAGTCACAAGCACCCATAGTGAGCCAAGAGCACCCATAGTGAGTCACAAGCACCCATAGTGAGCCAAGAGCACCCACAGTGAATCAAAAGCTCCTATAGTGAGCAACAAGCACCCATAGTGAGCCAAGAGCACGTATAGTGAGCCATGATCACCAAGAATGAGCCATGATCACGCATAGTGAGCCACGAGCACCCATAGTGAAACAGGAACACCCATAGTAAGCCATGAGCACCCACAGAGAGCCAACAGCACCCATACTGAGCCAAGAACACTCATAATGAGCCAAGAGCACCCATAGTAAGCCAGAGCACCCATATTGAGCCAAGAACACACATAGTGAGCCAAGATCACCCACAGTGAATCAAGAGCACCCATAGTGAGCGACGAGCACCCATAAAAGCCACGAGTACCTCATAGTGAGCCAAGAGCACCCACAGTAAGCTAAAAGTAGCCATAGCGAGCCATCAGCACCCATAGTGAGCCAAGAACACCCATAATGAGCTATGATCAACCACAGTGAGCCATGAGCACCTATAGTGAGCCAAAAGCACGCATAATGAGCCAAGAGCACTCACAGTAAGCCAAGAGCTCCCATAGTGAGCCATGAGCACCCATAGTGAGCCAAGAGCACTCATAGTTAGCCAAGAGCTCCCATAGTGAGCCATGAGCACCCATATTGAGTTATGAGCACCCATAGTGAGCCATAATCACGCATAGTGAGCCACGAGCACCCATAGTGAGCAACAAGCACCCATAGTGAGCCAAGAGCACCCACAGTGAATCAAAACCTCCTATACTGAGCCAGGAGCTCCCATAGTGAGCCAGGAGCACCCACAGTGAGCCACGAGCACCCATAATGAGCGAAGAGCACCCATAGTGAGTCACAAGCACCCACAGTGAGCCAAGAGCACCCACAGTGATCCAAGAGCACCCAAAGTAAGCCAGGAGCACCCACAGAGAACCATGAGCACCTAGAATGAGCCGGAAGTAGCCATAGTAAGCCATAAGCCCTCACAGTGAACCAAGAACACCAATAGTGAGCCACGAGCACCCATAGTGAAACAGGAGCACCCATAGTAAGCCATGAGCACCCACAGTGAGCCAACAGCACTCATACTGAGCCAAGAGCACTCATAATGAGCCAAGAGCACCCATAGTAAGCCAGAGCACCCACATTGAGCCAAGAACGCACAAAGTGAGCCAAGATCACCCACAGTGAATCAAGAGCACCCATAGTGAGCGACGAGCACCCATAAAAGCCACGAGTACCTCATAGTGAGCCAAGAGCACCCACAGTAAGCTAAAAGTAACCATAGCGAGCCATCAACACCCATAGTGAGCCAAGAGCACCCATAGTGAGCCAAGAGCACCCATAGTGAGCCAAGAGCACCCACAGTAAGCTAAAAGTAGCCATAGCGAGCCATCAACACCCATAGTGAGCCAAGAGCACCCATATTGAGCTATGATCAACCACAGTGAGCCATGAGCACCTATAGTGAGCCAAAAGCACGCATAATGAGCCAATAGCACTCATAGTGAGCCAAGAGCATTCATAGTGAACCAAGAGCACTCATAGTGAGCCAAGAGCACTCATAGTGAGCCAAGAGCACTCATAGTGAGCCAAGAGCACTCATAGTGAGCCAAGAGCACTCATAGTGAGCCAAGAGCACTCATAGTGAGCCAAGCATACTCATAGTTAGTCAAGAACTCCCATAGTGAGCCAAGAGCACTCGTAGTGAGCCAAGAGCACTCATAGTGAGCCAAGAGCTCTCATAGTGAGCCAAGAACTCTCATAGTGAGCCAAGAACACTCGTAGTGAGCCAAGCATACTCATAGTTAGTCAAGAGCTCCCATAGTGAGCCAAGAGCAC